ACCTCTATAATCATGAACGAGAGAGACCTCCCCAGGGAAAAGTCCTCAATTTAAGGGTATTTTTGGGAATTACAAACAGCACCCCTGGCAGAACAGCCAATCCGTTCATATTTAAAGGGACGAAAAGTTCAGATCTGACAGGGAACGTCTTAAGTTATTTTGTGCCATTTTAGCTTTCGTACATTATTTGGTCACAGTTGGACTTTGGTCTGTCAGGACTGTTTTCAAAGTTGCCTCCCCCGAACGCTCGGGGAAAAAAACTGGAAGACTGTTTGGGAATAGCAACGTACGTCTGTTACCAAAGCAGAGTGCTGCGTTTCACTTTTCAGTGCTCTAGATTCATTCACAAAGAAAAGCTACTCTAATAAGACTCGGACAGGGAGTGGGAACTACCACACGGCGATGCACAAACAACATATTTTGCTGCTAATATGCTGAGTGGGGGAAAAAAACAAGAAAAATTGTGCATGACTAAACCATTTTTAGTCATTCTGTGCAAACTGTCAATGAAATATCAGTCTGTTAAAAGTCTGTCGGAGAGTTCTCCCAGCCAAGAAATGCTACAGGGTCTTAGCAGAAATGCTACATAATTATTCTAACTTGGTCCTTCATTCTTACATATAGATTAATATACAGAAACTCAGGGCCCAGGTGAGTGCGGCAGTCAAAACGCCTGGTGTTTTGTTCTTAAAACGTTGGAATGTTTTCCGTTCGCTCCTTCAAGAGTCTTTTTTTCTCTTTCAGGTGTCAGTGCAATGTTCGGTTTTGTTGCTGTAAAGTCAGTCAGTCAGTCTGTAGAAAGAGGAGTGATCCGGAATTTCGGTGAGGTTGCTTTGGTTACCGTGTGACGATCCGGCCTCAGAAAATTCCAGTTTCCTTTTTTTTGTTTCCAGTCTTGCCACTCCGACATTCCTCACATGTCCCGTGTGATGGTATGGCCCCATCGGCAAAATTTTCAGGATTCAGCGACTAACCGTGTCTCCTTAATAGAACTGCCAAATGCTAGAAACTTAACACTGCGGACAAAAACAGAGATATAACGATTTTGTTAGAAATGAACATTAATTAAGCAATGCGTTTAAAAGAAAAATCACAGAAAAATGAAAAGGAATAGTTCTCCCAAAACTGAAAATTTACCGACCTTCAGGCCATCCAAGATAAGATTGTTTATTCATCATTACTTGCTCACCAATGGATGCTCTGCAGTGAATGGGTGCCGTCAGAATGAGTGTCTAAACAGCTGATAAAAACATCACAATAATCCACACCACTACAGTCCATCAGTTAACGTCTGAAGTGAAAAGCTGCGTTTGTAAGAAACAAATCCATCAAGATGTTTTAACTTTAGACAGTTGCTTCCAACTAAAATACGAGTCCTCTATACATAATATTGCTTTTTCCAGTGAAAAAGTAATCTCATCTGAATCAGGTGAGAAATATGCACAGATCAAGCGTTTAAAAGCCAAAACAGTCCTAAACAAATATGTGGGTGGATTTTGATGTGAGGGGACAACAGGGGTTGGACTTTTTTGCTTGTGGATTATTGTGATGTTTTTATCAGCTGTTTGGACTCTCATTCTGACGGCACCCATTCACTCCAGAGGATCCATTGGCGAGCAAGTGACGTAATGCTACATTTCTCCAAATCTGTTCCCATGAAGAAACAAACTACATCTACATCCTGAATGGCCAGTATAAACTGTCAGCAAATTTTCATTCTTAGGTGAACTATTCCTTTAAGATGTAGAAATGCTTTTAAGAAAATCACACAAATACAAAGCCACTGAAAAACCAGGGGAAAAAAAGAATTTGAGACGAACACAGTTAAAACTCTTCTACACACACACAGATCTCAAGATGAAGTTGCATGCACTGAACACCGGCTGTGCAATGTATCTTCTCAGGGGTGAAAAAGTCCAGTCCCGGAGAAAACACACATGTGCGGATTACAGTTAATGATAACACAGGGTTTAACCTGAAATCTGAAGACACTGGAGATCATCACACTTGCATATTACCGCTAAATATGGCCAATTAACTTTCTAGATCTAGCAGGAATGGAATAGTCCACCCCAGATACATTCTGGATCAATTTAAAATATAATAAGCTACTACATTATTATTGATAAAGGAAACTTATTGATTAAAACTGAGAACAGTAGAAAGCTGGGGAAGGTTTACCTGTGGATGGCTGGTAAAAGTTAAGCATGTACTGTAAAAATTCAGTTCACAGATAATTCATTCAACTATAATAATGTAAGCGCAATCATTTATTGTCAGGTGGAGTCAATATATGAGAAAAAGATACAGCTGAACATTGAAATTATGCCTGAACCATTAACAATATCGATGTTTTGTACATTTTAAGTGAGACGCAATAAATCTGTCATTTACATAATGCATTGTGCTGTTTTCACATATATACATCAGCATTTGAATGTTATCTGGGTGAATGAGTGCAATTTCAGTTAATGTGCAAACACAAATTCAAAATGCACACACGCACACATAAACAAACACTCATTTACATACAGTAAATGTCAACATAACACATAAAATCTTTAAAGAACAACCAGCATACATAAAGAGAAAGGCAGAGATGAGTTTAATGGGCATTCACTCGTGTAGATACAGATTTGTACAGATCATGTTGGCCTAGAAGCTTTGCATTAACAGGTGAAGCTAGTTAAATCTAGCTAGCGGTGTATGAGTCTCTACAACAACACTGTAGTCTAAATTATCCTCATAGAGGGCTCTTGCTTTTTTAATATAAACATGTTCGATGTGTTTCAGTGACCTGACAGTGTTGTATAGGGCACAGCTACATGAAATACACAAGAAAAAAAGAAAATCAGTTCCTTTTTTAACATTTTAAACATCTGCATATTACAAGAACAGCACAATATTAACTTTAACATCGACTCACAAATGGAGGAAAGACAATATTTTTTATCAAGAGAACGAATCTTCTCAACTAATCACTAGAGATACATAACTGATGGAGACTAATCAGTTTTAGTGGCAGAAAGTTTCTGGTTTCACAGTGTATGAGGAGGCCCGGCGTCCCACTACATGTTTGTTAAAATACAGTCATTTTAACAGGGATTGGTGCCGGTGTCGTGCAAGACTCGATCCCACCGCAGATGCATGTACAGTAATGTGAATATTGTAGTATATTAAAATATGTTTTATGTAGTGTGTTTGGATTTTACATCAATATAATGCTGTTTCTCGCTGTTCCTCGCTGTTCTGGCACCTAATTTAAAATAATGCATCCTTGCTTAATAAAAGTATTAATTTCTTAAAAAAAAAAAAAAAAAATTTTAAATGGCAGTGTATATTTTATTAACTTTATATACTTTTTAAAATATAATGTAATTGCTTTTTTCTTAACTGGGTCATTCCAACCTGCCAAACTTTGTTTATCATAGAAACTGCACCAATCCTGAATTGTAAAATGGAATCGCTTTGGAGGATTGAATCTTGCACAACGCCGGGTACATTGTAGGATCCAGGTTTGCATGATAGAGGAGCCATGTTTAAAACAAAATAGCTCCTTACTGATATATTTACTGTCTCAGCAGTGGGTTGTTCTCCATTGGGAAACTAAATCACATTTAATGATTAAGAACTACATAACATACAGTTCCCTATAAACTACAACTTTGCAATTATTGCAACATGTTCTTTTCTTTTTTTTGCTATTTCAGGGAAGTATTTTCTCAGAAATGGCTTATTTACTTAGTATCACCTCTTTTGTTAATGATTCTGGAAGCACTCGGTCACTTCGACCTGAATACATATATTTTTGTCTATTTCTATTTATCCAAAAAGAAACACAGTACCACTTACGTATATATCATATACAGATGAAACTGTTGTGTAATGTTTTTGAAAACAAAAATTTGTCTTTGAAAAACTTTCAAAATATAATAAAAAACAACAGCAGGACACTAACATTGACAAGACAAACAGGAAATGCTCTTAAAAATCATCACATCCTCTTCATCATCTTCCATTCTTTCAACCTTTTCATTACATTTAATTCTCTTGCACATGTTCTTTTATAAAACCACATGTGCGTATGTTTGCAGCATTATGAATTATTATGGAATATTGCACATATATATATATATATATATATATATATATATATATATATATATATGTGGGTGAATGATGAGTTGTTGTTTTTTTCTCTGAGCATCATCTTAAAATCTAACACTAACACATCCCAAACACAGTGTACAATAGCAAACAAAAGAAAATAATTCCATCAAATGAACTTTTTTTTGCTCCTCATATATAGTTTTTAGATTGGAAGTGTTTGCTTAGAGGTGGGCGAAATTTGGCAACATGTTATAATGAGCAAAAGACAATATGCAATGATTAAACAAACACGATGTGCAAAATAAAATAAAATGATTAAATGTTCATGGAGACTGTATTATCAAAGCTCAAATGATCCATTTATGGTTCACACATCCAGTTTTGATTCAATAGGTTTGCAATTAAACTAAATTATTTCAGTCCAATGACAAACACAAAGCATACAGGTATGTGTGATAATAATGTTTCTATTTGCAGAGTAATGATTGCATATGTACATTATTCTTGCATTACAAATTCTGGAGTTTTCTAAAGTTTATTCACAGTATTATTCATCTTAATTCAGAGTTTAAAGGGAAAGGAAGGTTTTTGAACACAAAATAAGGACAGTGAGCGTATTTGAAATGAAAATGCATTAATCTATCTGCCTTGAGCACAAAAAAATCATATTTTTAACATGTTGTCTGACCCAGAAAGCATGGGGAAGAAACAAAGCACTTCCTTCCGTTCATAAACGTACGTACAGTTGTTGACCTGGTTAACCTGCCAAGTCCAGTTCGTAACTAACCTGACCCGTGGTCACTCACAAACAGCTCCGTTTAGTGCATCTACTGACACAGTCAGTCACTTTTATTGCTATGAATGTGAGTATGAGGCTGTCCTGCCTTTCTCTCCTCCTTTCCTGAGTCGTTCTGTCACTCTTTCCGCTTTTTCTGCTACAAAATGGAGGGAATGGGTGAGCGGCAGCGGTGGAGGGGTCCCGGGGCCTCGTAAGGATCATAGGGCGTGCTGGTGATGGGGGTCAAACGCAGGGACGACCCCACCATTCCTGATATGTTGTTCAGGCTGCGAGATTTCTCGTAACCCGTGGCTGGCAGATCGTTTTGCCAAGTTTAATCGTTAATGACAGGTTAAATTAATTTTATAATGCGTGTTTTTACATTAAACAGCATGGACGATGGGTTGGGTGTTACATGTTCGGTTTGATGCGGCAGACGGAAAATTATTTATGGGTAAAGGAACAAAACAAATGGAAACATGAAAAATGTAAAAGTAAGTATAAAGCGACACAAATGTGAAATGAAAGGTGAAGAGAACCGTAAAAGACAGACAGACAGAAGACACACACACACACACACACACACACACACAGGACAAGACAGGACAAAACAGGAAAATGAGAGTTATGAAATTAGTCATACATTGGTTTTCTAAAAAAAAATCCACAACATAAAAAGTGTTTTCCAGATACAAATACTCCACACATTCCCACTGGCTGAAGAAAACACTGCCTGGATTGTTTTGCCACTGAGTTTATATTTTGGAAGCTGGAAGTTGAGATTTGTGATGAAGTGTTTCAGTTAACCAGTGGTAGTTAAGCAGGGCAGTGTAGAGTAAGACTAGACAACAAATAAGACCGAAGCTGAAGTGCCTTTCTCTGCCAGACTGTAGGAGATTGTCGAGGAAACCACGGCAGCCTTTGTGAAGCATTTCAACAGATTTATTAACACAAACATTTTTATAAAAGGATTGTTAGTGGGAACTGAAATGATTCTTTCCTTTGTTCCAAAACCTAATGAACTGCTAAGCTCATGACTTGACGCACTAAGCTCACAAATAATAATGATTGTTTAATTTAATTTAATTTATGAAGGGCTTTTCCAAAGCTCAAGGTCTTAGATTGAAGCACATATCTTAAATATATTTAATAAATAAAAAATATGTATAGATAGATAGATAGATAGATAGATAGATAGAAAAATATATCAATACATTTTGGAACTAAAAAAAACAAACAAACAAATAAATAAATAATATAGTGTGCTTTGAAATTTTGTGGTATTAAACAAGTAATAAATTAATTAACATTTTATTCATAGTGCTGTTCCAAAGCTAAAAGTCAAAAAATATATTGATACATTTTGGTCCACCCAACCAACCAAACAAACAGATAATAAAACAAATTAACAAATAAACAAATACTTATTTAATTTGTATAGTGCCAAAGCTCAATGTCTAAAAATCATATACAAAAGAAGTCAAAAGAAAGTATGTCTAGGTAGGCAGCTCACTTGGTTTTGGAAGATACTGATTGTTGCAGTAATTACATAGATTAATTCTCGTCAAAGCATTTCTGTATCAGATTTCACACTAAGATGCTGATTAATACATTGCAGTTGAGTTAGTGAACAGATTTGTTCTTATTGACCGCTGACTGGTTTCTCTGACAACCTGTTGAACATCCTATTATATTTCACTTGACTGTGAGGTCATAAAGCCTGCATTTGCAAAACATAATCATGACAAAAACTGGTTCATAACACCTCTGCAGCATTCACGTAGTGTCAGAATTACCGTAATTACGAGACAACACGCAGTTTCTATGCCATTTATTTTTCACACTCATTGCACCAAAATGCCTACATATAAGACTTTGCTGCCAATAGTAAAATGTGTAAACATTACATTAATTAACATTAAAATGTTAAGCAACTAATAGTAATTTATTTATTTTAGTTTATTTATATAACACCTAAAAATATATAATGACCCAAATGTTGTCAGCTAAAATAAAACAGCCTAATAAAATATGCAAAACCAGTTATATATCTATATGTAGCTTCCCAGAAACTCAGAATTATGGTAATTGTGATACAACTTACACTCATAACATGTAAATCAAAAATGTTCAGGGCATTAGAATAGTTTTTTCACATATTAAGAAAAAAAAGAAAATCAGACTTATATGAGTGTTACATTGAGCTTTTGTGAGTTTAGTAGTCAGGCTTATGTGACCAATCATTCAAGTGAAGCGACTAGCAGCGACCTTCAACCCACATATCAGATTCATTTAGCCGTCTCTCTCCCTGGTTCTCCCTATATGCGTGTTTATTTGGGAGAGGAAGAGGTGAATGTGGGAAAAGTTTGCCGCATATTGACCACAGAAAAAAAAAAATCTCTGGAAACAAGAAAAGACAAGGAAAAAAAAAAAAGAGAAAACTTTCCTTGGAAAGTGGGACAACAGCTTGAACACACACACACACACACACACACACACACTCACAGATGCATTCAGACAGTAATTTGCAGAGTCAGATCTGATATAGTATGCACCACACACACAGAGAGACAGACAAACACACACACACACACACACACACACACATACACAGAGAGACAGACAAACACACACACACATACACAGAGAGACAGACACACACACACGGCTGCTCTATTTCGTTGCCACATAAATGTGCACACAATCACAACACACAATTCTGCAGGTGCATCTCAATAAATTAGAATGTCATGGAAAAGTTCATTTATTTCAGTAATTCAACTCAAATTGTGAAACTCATGTATTAAATAAATTCAATGCACACAGACTGAAGTAGTTTAAGTCTTTGGTT